GCGCAAGGAAGGGGAGGGGGGAGGGGGTTAGGGTCTTTCCAACAATGGATCTGGGAAAACTGAACAGAGTAATTCTGAGCAGAATGTAAAATTGAATAAATTATAGGCCACTGATCTAGAACTGGATAGTGCATCTGGCCGCAGAGAGTAATCGCGATGTATGCAATGATCCCATCGCTCTCTGCGCGCCTGTAAGATTTTATATTGCGTCTGGCAGGCCAGCGGTCATACAACCGTAATTCGGAAATGACCTATTTATTCCTCCGGCGTATTTTATATGCATTACATGCAGCGTTGCTAACTTCACATCCGAAGTTTGGTAGAAGCGAGTAGGAGAAAATCCCTAGTATAACGAGGGTAGTAAGGGATTCGGATCGCGTCTCACACTTTCACGTGAACAAAAAGCCATTTTCACGTTTCACATGCAAAAAATTTAATTTGTTTAATCTGTTAACTTATTTTTACGTTTTCGAAACTAATTTCACCACTAAAAGCTCAACATTAAAAGACAAGCAAATACATGCATGCATGCAATAAAATAGTTCTATCCAAAGCATTGCTTTCTTCACGTTAGCATATCTCACAACTTGTCCAGTTTTTGTTCTACATGCCTCAAAATAACGGAAGCCTCACATATCGATTTTTTCCACGAGAAACGTCATATGTTCGTTTGGGGGTGGGGGGGGGTTGCAGCTGTGACGTTTCTCTGTAAACATCATGGAAAAAATCGATAGTTTTGATCTTTGCAGAGTATAAAAAAGAAAACAATTTGATACAAACAGCAGTCTATATATTCGTCGTAGCCGACCGAAAAAAATAGTAGAAAATTACCTTATGTGTACTATAAGAACAAAATATCGATAACTATGTGTGACGTTTCTAAGGGGGGGTGGGGGGGTCTCCAAAGAAACGAGCATATGACGTTTCTCATGGACAAAATCGATATGCGAGGCTTCCCTAAAACCTCGACGTTTTGATGTCCCTTCGTCGGGCCTCAATAGAGCGTTTGCACATGACGTCACAGCCGCCATGTTGGTGCTCCAATTCAATAGAATTCAATTAGACTCTTTTGTCTGGAACACCAACATGGCCGCCATGGCTTTTGTTGAGTTGGGAAATGAGTGCAAACGCTCTATACCAACAACCAACAACGGCGACGGCAGAAAATAAAATTACTTATACTTTTGTATTCGAGCGAAAACATACATTACTAAACTAAGCACCTGTCTTTCTTTTAAACAACCCTGAAATTGCCTGAAGTAACGATAGTAAGTGAATTCACATAAAACACCACAAAGAACTTGAAGGTTTTTCTCTGTTGGCGTGTTCCTGAGCCGTGAAAATGATGTAAATAACGTAGCAGTTTGAACAACTACGACGTATACTAGAATGCTCAAGGAATGCAAATTATAGTCGCCTTCGTCTTAGAGAAAAGACGCTATTATTGACGAGCTCGTTGCCGTTGTATTTGCCAAACTCTCTACTGAAGGCCGTTTTCCACCAGACGGAATTTTCCGCGCGGAGCGGAATTTCTCCGTTTTGTCTTGTGATTTCTCGGGTGGAACTAATTGGAAAAGACAAAGAGAAATTCCGCTCCGGGCGGAAAATTCCACCTAGTGGAAAACGGCCTTAACTTCCCGACGAAGGGCTCGAAACGTATTTTTCAGGTAGTTGAATACATTTCCAGTTGAATCACGCTTCACAACACAAAAATCCGCAGTTTCACGAGTCAATATTGGCAATTCACGCTTCACGAAAATACCCTTGACTACCCTGTTATTCTGCGACGCAAATTTCAAAACAATAGACGGTCTGGCAGCAACGAAATGAAGAATCAACAACGACAGCAAAGGCAACCTCGTACCCTGGGCTTCTGCCCTTTGGTACGAGGTCGAATGGTGCAGGTAGGTCTTCTAACACCATCAACTGTTAGAGCCTGAACTTAGGTTACATCAACTGCGGCATGGTCTGGCTGGTCAGTTTTAAGACCGCACGTAACTGGAAATTCAAGAATTTTCTTAAGTGCAGAGGTGATAACCGTTCAAAGTTGAGGCTGAAAAAACTTAAAGCACTGCCTCGAGTTCAACCTACTGTCATTAAATCGCTGTGCTATATTGTTTCGTGTATAGGAATGTGTCTGTTAAGAGAGGGCCCTGAAGGGGTAAAATGGGAACTGGGATTGATCTATTTTTAGACTGGGAAAATGGGATTTGGGTTGCTGGGAATGGGAAATGAAGTCCTCAAAAATGGGAATGGGATTGAGGTAATGCGAGTCGATTCCCAATTTTTCTACGTTTTAAGTATTTTAAAAAACAATTTTGATCCGTTTTTGGTGTCTTTGGTCATGATTTTTGTTGTTAACTATATTATTCACAGCACTACCTGAGAACAGGCATACTCTGGCGCCCGAAATTCTGGGTTTTCTGATTATGCATGTCTCAGAATGCTGCAAATGCCATTTACGGAATTCAAATTTTAAAATTTTCCGTGCCTTCGGCACGAACCTCCCCCAATATTTCATAAAGTGTTCGCCACTTGCACACACGGTGGCTTAAAAGTCTTAAAACTGTTTATTGTACCGATAAATAAATCAGGACCCTCTTAAGAACCAGGATTTGAGGCATCTGCGGCGCGCAGGTTCGATTTGGTTAATAAAGACAAGTCATTTCTAAAGGTTTGAATAATGCAAATCATTAAATATTTGCATAACATGACCTATTGCTTCGACTGGAAACATTAATTTATTTACGTGAAACATTTATTTACATTTTTTTATAATAAAACTGCAAAGTCTGTGTTGCTTTAACAATGTAGAAGTTGTATCCTTTGTCGTATAGAAGACAAATTCACAGATGTAGTTTTGTTTATAAAACCTTGAACAATAATGTTGACTTCAATATGGAAGAAACTAAAGGAAGTGATTTACTCGGCTGTCATGATACAAGAAATAAACAGTAAGACTCCCCCTTTGTAGAACCAATTGGGGACAACAAACATCGCACTTATGTTTTTTAATTAATGGACTAATCTTCCGCCATTTGTTAAAGATTCTAGACTAATAGCTCTTAAAAACAGCTATGTCTTGGCATGTATGAATAACTTGTTATCTTGATCAAGTGACTGAAACACCTTTTTGTACATGTCTTCCCTATAGGTAAGTATTTTTACTTGAATATCAAGGCATATCGCGCATGGAAAGAAGTGATGTGTTTGGCTGCTAATCGTAAAACCTTCTAGAAAGGATAACAGGGCCTTTTACACATTTTCCTACCTCGGGTGATATATGCCAAACAAACCCAGGGCCTTGGGGCAAAAAATCTAATCAAATTCTCTGGGATTTCCCCTGTTACCACAATCATTCCTTGAGATAGCGGGAGTAGGGCTTGACGTTTACCCACACCGCATTAGAAATAAAAAACAGCATGAACAGTCACCAGGCCAGAATTACACACTAGATTCTTCGTTAGTTTTACAACCAGGGAGTTTGGAAAGTTGCACACGACCTAGACTGCGAGCAATCCCTCTATTTTCCTTCGTTTTATTGTTTCCCGGACTAAGATTGAACGCGCGGGAAAATGGCAAAAAGGGGCGGAGACGAGGCTCTTTTCCACTCATCGCAAAAACAGCTCGCAGCAAGTTTGCGAGTGATTGGAAGTACTAAAGAGTAAAGAGTAACTCGCAGCAAGCTTGCGAACACTAGCAGCGAAGTTAAATAATTTGAACAATATTTTCTGATCGCGCGAACAAAGACTGACCAGTAGCCAATGGATCGGAATTTGTTGAAAATATCATTTAAACATATTTATCATATTTATCATATTCATTTATCATTTTAACGTTTTACATACTTGAGACGTCTTCTTTACGTGATTAACATTATGACAATGGCAAAAAATAACAATTTACCATTATATATTAGTTCAATTAATCTATCCTGTGTATCCTGGTAAATTGTACACATGTTTACGTTTGGTAAGTGTCAAAAGATACACATAAGAAATAATTATCATACGTGAAATTTATTTTCACATATAATCCTTCGATAATTTCAAAGTTATGTGAAACCATGAATGATAGCAAACCGTATAATGTATACTATGCGTGTTTAGTATATATAACTACATAGGTGATTATTGAAAATTCTCCACGCTGATTGGTTGCCGTTGAGGTGATTATAACGCGATAGTCACCTAAGCGATTTTCAAAATTGCGGACGAAGCCGTTTTGTCAATTAAATGACGAAGAAATGTGTATTTTTTATTTTTTTCCAAATAATCACCTATGAAATTATACAAAAACAATTATTCACCTCAGACTCAGTGATTAACGTGAATAAAAACCTCGACTTCGTCTCGGTTTTCAGTTCACCGTTAATCACCTCGCCTTCGGCGAATAATTGTTAAATAACGCCACACTGCAGTAATATCTACTCATGACTACAAGTATTTTTAATTAGCTTTTGTTCTCTTACAGGAAAATTATTCAGATCACATGAACGCTGGGGACCACGGGCATATAGTCAAAGATAGTTCAAGAGGCTATCTGGCATATCTGCAACCCGCCCCACCCAGCCAGTTCAAGATGGCGTCAAATCTGAAAATCGAATGGCATACAGACACACGCGGGAATTCCTCGTAAAACACGCGGGATTGATGCGACAAAATTACGCAGTCACGTGCGTAAATCACATTTACAAGTTAAGAAAATTAAGAAATATGCACTGTATTTTATTTTTGGCACAGTATTTGGAAAAAATTGCACTGCTCTTAATAGCCAATCAGAATTGAGAAATTTTTTCATGTATATTACTGTTAGTGTCGGAAACAAACCTGTCGCAGATCTTCTGTTTCCTACCGTTTGCACGCAATGCAAATCGGTTGTCTATTTCATATTTTTGTTAGCTTTCCACGGCAGGCAACCCATTAGAAAGATTTAATTAACCCATTAGAAAAATTTTCGTAGAATTCCTACAGCACAGCATGAAACTGAAATAGATTCCTGCAATGGGCTATTCCATTTAATATCCGTACACCCCCTGTCGAGGATACATGTTTTTCATGGTTATACCCCTGAAGAATTCCAAGCTCAAAACCTTTTACCCCTGAAGAATTCCAAAATTCCAAGCTCAAAACCGTTTACCCCTGAAGAATTCCAAGCTCAAAATCTTTTACCCCTGAAGAATTCCAAAATTCCAAGCTCAAAACCCTTTACACCTGAAGAATTCCAAGCTCAAAACACTTTTACCCCTGAAGAATTCCAAGCTGAAAACCCTTTATCCCTGAAGAATTCCAAGCTCTGAAAAATTTAAAAGTCAAACCTCTTTACCCTTGAAGAATTCCAAGCACAAAACACTTTACCCCTGAAGAATTCCAAGCTCAAAACCTTTTATCCCTGAAGAATTCCAGGGATCCTCGACAGGGGGGGATCGCAGTCACATGGTGTGTTTTGATCTAACGTCTTTGGGCTGGAGAGATTGTAAAATGGCGTGATAACAAATAATTTGTGCTGTTTTCATCTCAATGTTTTTGTATGGTTTCACGCTTCATCGCAGCTGTGATTGACTTAGGACATCATGTAAAGTCCTATGATGGTCGATCTGCTTCAATTCCTAAAAGAACCGAGGGATCGGACCAAAATGGCAGAGGTCACAGTTGCATGGAAGCTCGTTGAACTTAGCTTTATTAATGTGAGCAAGATATTTTTGAAAAAATCTAGTTGGGCATTTTCATGAAATACATGCCGAGTCTCCCGCCCACGATAGGTTTGGCTGCGTGATTTCGACGTAGAATTAGTCTTAGTATAATTTCTAAACACTTGAAATGTGGGGGGAGATCTATGTCCGATTTTACCATGGTGTTTCCACTTGAAGGAAATTCGACATTTCCCGGCTGGGAATAGTGCTGGAGAGATTCGATTTTGATACAAAAGTTGGTGTTTTGTGCATTCGCTTCATGTTCAAATGGAGCGTAATCACCTGCTTAGGAACCGTGCTCGTCCCTTCTTGCCGCAATGTATATACCATGCAAGGGGCCGGTTGGACAAATCGTCACACGTACTGATTGCTCACTATACTGAATTCTCGATAAGCTTAATGAATTGGTCCTCAGGGTTACTTTACACGCGATGCAAACATGTTGCAAATACCACGTATTGCATTGGGTAATTTACAGGGCGAGGCAAGTTGTGACGAAACTGTTGCCAATTTCAAAAGTTTGCAATGGGTCTGCACGATACGGCTTCGCGGCGGATACCACCTTGACGAACAATTTTCGCGCACATGAAAACTGGGAGAAACCACAAGCAACATTTTCCCAACAGTATTCACGCAACGCGCGCAGGAGCTGCCTCAAAATTATAGAAACAAACCTGAGCGAAGGCCCTTCCTTACTTGAATGGAATAGGATGGCTTGGTATGATTTCACGGTTCAACTGACACCTACAAATCCTCGGGTGGCGATGCAGGCATAATTTGTGCATAACTCAAGTCCAGTTTGTGAGGCACTTTGAAAATGTATATGCTTTTTTATATGTTGGAATTTTAATTTCCTCCGATCACGCACGCACTTACGCGGAAGATATTCGAAGGAGGAAAATTGGAAAGAGTCATTTTAAGAAACACGGAAAGCAAGGGAATAAAAACCAAGCCACAACCAGGACTCGAACCTGGACAGTTGCACCATGAGGCGCAATGTATTAACCATTATACCGCCGCAGCTCTCGGTTGGTAAATGTAGGAAAGACCTCAATATATACCGCAAAATGTCATGTTTTCTTGTATCTCATTGGACGAAAGCGTATGACGCAGAAGTCACGAAATTCGAATCTGTGTCTTTTCGTGTATAAAGTTCTCCGTTTCCTTCGATTTTTTTTTGTCTTCTTTCACACGAATCATGGGAATATAATGAAACACTTGTCGTCTACAGGCCAATAATTTTATAATTATTCCCACTGCACACCCTCCAGTGCCGTGGGTATTTCCTGTCAATTTCAGACGATACACAAAACGTCCGTTAACGAGATCCCTGGTGCGGATATGACTCACTGTCACAGTTTCCATGTTGGTGACATGAGAGCACCGTTACTGCTTGCAGTCTGCATTGCTCGTAATCACTTGCTCAAGAGGTTTCGGTGGCGCCGATCCTGAGCGCAAGCACATTTCACCTGTGACATGCGCTTGGGACTGACTGACTGTCGTGCGAAAAGTATCATGAGCGAACGCACGGGGAGTGTTGCCACAGGTTCCGTAACTGTGGTCAGCAATCAGATGATATGAGACATATAAGTTGGCTGCCAGAGGCTCCCTTAAAAGCCTTCGATTAGATAGGGTTGTGCATGATGCGTGCTACGTAATTCCGCTGGCATAGAAGGATGATCAGCACACACCTGTTTACCGATTTCATGTTGTATACATGGGCATCTATATCGTTAATATCGAGATTTGGAGGAGATCACAATGATCGTCTTTACATATATATATATATATATATATATATATATATATATATATATATATATATATATATATATATATATATATATATATATATATATATATATATATATATCATATATATATATACCATATATATATATCATATATATATATATATACCATATATATACCATATAT